CTCACTCACACACACACACACACACACACACACACACACACACACACACACACACACACACAAACACTCACTCGTCTTCTCTCTGAAACACACTCAACTAAAGCAGCTAAAGAAAGCAGGAAAGGCAGCATGCAACAGGTTTACTTAATTAGGATAATTGAATAAAAACAAAAAAAATTATATATATAACTATTACAGCAAATAATCCCGTTACGAAACACACCGTCTGAGGAGTCTGACTGTGTGTTTTATGTAATGGCACACACACATTAAGGTTCGCTATAGGAGAGGGCCTTTGATTCGGGCTGGAGTGGCTGCAGTCTCTACTGACTCATCACTTCAGCAAAGCTTCTGTATATGTGGAGACCCGACCGCAGGAGGACTAGTTATAGGAACATACAGCAGCCCGTCAGATGCAGGCTATGTGGGGCATTATGATATACATTTTGGTCAAAATGAAACTGAATTGAGGCTATCTGATGAGGAGACGGTCTTGTGCGGTTTGCTTTCTTTTAACGCTAAATGCAAACCCTTTATAAAAAATAAAGATGATACATGGTATATAAGTTAAAATTATGTATCTCTACTATTCAAAAGTCTGGGGTTGGTAAGATTTCTTAATGCTTTTTAAGTCTCTTCTGCTCACAAAGGCTGCATTTATTTGATTAAAAATACAGTAATATTGTGAAATCTTATTACAAGTTAAAATAGCTGTTTTCTATGTTAATATCTGTTAAAGTGTAATTTATTTCTGTGATGCGCAGCTGTATTTTCAGCATCATTCCTCCAGTCTTCAGTGTCACATGATCTTCAGATATCAGTATAATATGCTGATCTGCTGCTCAAGAAACATTTCTGATTATTATCAATGTTGAAAACAATTTGAAACAGAAATCTTTTGTAACATTATAAATGTCTTTACTGTCACTTTTGATCAATTTGACGCATCTTGGAAGTCTTCATTTCTTTAAAAAAAAAGTGTGTGCAAAAAATTATATATATGGAGAAAAAAATGGATGTAATATTGTCAAGATTAGGTTTTATTTTGTGCAATATAAACACAATACAAACCAAAAAGTTAAACCAAATAGTTAAAATATTTACTTTTAATTAAAATACCAACATATCAGAGATTAACTATTTTTTCCACACGACTTTATGCAGATTTGTTTAGTTTTTTCTTAAACAAATAATGTTTTTTTTAGTTTTCTTTTCTTTTCAATAAAATAATGACTACATGTTTCATGATTTCTTACCAGTCTTGAGAAGCGGAATTCAAATTTAAATGTAGAAATATATCAAATTTGGTGAATTCTAATGTAAAAAAAACTAATATCACAATCCTTTGTGACTCTCACCTCCATCTCCTCGCAGCTGCATCTCTGTCCTAAAGTCCTCCAGGCTTCCCAGAATGCTGTGCGGCAGCACCATCCCCTGCATGTCAAACGGTGACCCACCGGGACCTTTGGTGCACAGAGAGAGTCTAAAACAGCAATCAAACTGAACTAAGCCACGCCCACCCACTTGCATATTCAAATGCTTGAGGCGGGACTTCATCATGTGGGAGGGGCCTCGCTACAGTGACTCTAACCGCTCGGCTGACCTCATCTGATGGGCGTGTCTTACGGACATATGCACGGGTCATTGATTTGGGCTTCTGGGATTCTGAAGGCGGTTTAGGGACTAAGAAGCAACAAGACACGCTATACATTGAAAACAACAGAAGATGCCAAACACCTCCAGCTGTCACACACGCACCCTCTCCAGGTCTTGAGCTGTGATGTCGTGTCTGTTCAGAGCGGGACTGTGATCTTCCTCGCCCACACATGAGCTCTCATCAGCTTCTTATCTTACACACGAGAGAAGAGGAGGATGAGAAACCACAAACCCACAGACGTGTGAATTATGACTATTCAAACCAGGCCTGTCAATCGATTCGAATAATATACTGTGATTTTGTGACATTCAATGTTGTTAATTTAAACATTGTAATTGCTTTTCAAAGAAAACTTACTTTGATTTTTGCACAAACATGCATTCATTTTTAAACACATAAACTGTACACGTTCAAAAGTTTTTTTGGTTCTGTATGATTTTTTTATATTTGTGAATATTCTGCTCACCAGGGCTGCAATTATCTGATTAAAAATGCAATATTATAATTTAAAATAGGTGTATTCTATTTGAACATATTGTTAAACGCAATGTTGAAAACATATGTGCTGCCGAATATTTTGGTGGAAACCGTGATACATGTTATTTTTCAGGGACATGCTGTTATATAAGCCTGTGCATCCTCAGAGTTCTGGACACGGATCGCCGTTGCCATGGCAAAAACACAATAACTTTCCCCCCATTAAAAACACAGACATCCCAATGTCCTCTGCTGCTGCCAGTCTTTCCATCTGAGGAGTCAGAACATCCCGTGTTGTTTCACAGGTGGGATGTCAGAAGAGACAGACAGAGGTGACACTGATCTCAGAAATCTGGAGCACAACAGTCCAGGGAAAAGTCCTTTTCTTTTTCTGCTCCATCTCTCTCTTA